CTTTGTTCCCATCTGATATTGTCTTCTAAAAGGCTGAAGGGGTAGTTTACAGGATGTGTGACAGGTGGTTTTTCCTTATTTATGGTAGGGTCTGGTTTATTTTTAAAGCCTCCGTCCCACCTTATCCTGTGCGCCATGCTGGCTGATGTTATCCACAGCCACCCCGCAGCAGGAGGCCAAGCGCAGCTTGGGACAGGTCACGGCTCTGCAGCAGAGCAAGGGAGGGCAGGAGGGCTCGGTTGCATTGAGAACTGCTATTTTGATCCCTGCAGCGGCAGGAAATAGCTGCAAGTGAAAACCAGACGCAGATGCCTCCAGTCGCATCCCAGCCATGACAGTGGGGACAGCACTGGGGAAGGGGTCAAGAAGCCTGGCAGGGACTATGGGGCCACATCAGCTAGGCAGGAGCTACTGCTCAGAGAGTTTTCCAGGGGCTTTGGATGCAGTAAATGGTTCGAAAGCTGCACAGCCAGCCAGCTATTGTGTCTGCCGTTCAAAAAAGCAAAGCTGAGCAAACAGAGATCACATCTTTTCTGGAAAAGTGGCTGCTTTCTGCCAGGATAGTAAGTGCTGACTGCACTAGTGGTGCTGGGCAGGCATGCTGGGAGAGAGAGAGAGATGTCCTCTCCCATCTCAGGTCAGAGCTGAGAGCCCTGCTAGTAACCCCAGGGTGTCTCTGAGGAGCTGGGTGAAACCATAGGGTATGGGAAGTATAATTGTGGAGGAAGGTCTCTCTCCAGCCCGCTGTTCCTACCTCTTATTTAGGTCAGGTCACTCAGGGCCTTGTCCAGCTGATTTTTAGAGATCACCAAGGACAGAGGTGCTCCCACCTCTCTGGTCCCTGTCCCCATGATGGACCCACACACACTATGAAGATTTCTTTTCCCAATATCTAATAAGACTTCATGTTGCTGCAACTTTTGTCCACCAGCCATTTCATTTTGTCTGCCTGCTTGAAAATGGCCCTGGAGGTGCATTTAAAAGCCCCATTAGTGACACTATGAGCACCAGGTGCTGCCTGCACAGCCTCCCTGTACACAGCAATGCTGGCTGGAGCTGCCCGCAGCCTGGGCAACCAATGAACCCCTTGCAAGCTTCAGCTGGTGGCTGCTCTCACATTGCTCCACCTAAAACCAAGACAGTTAGTCACAGGCAAGTGTGAATTCACCAGAGTGTTTTAGCTTGACATGTAGGACAGAGCAGGTGTCACCAGTGCTGTGGTTTCACCATGACAGTGCAGCCGGCATTATCGCTTCTGCCTGGGTGAATAACCCCCTGCTACCGAACTTCCACCCCTGTGCTGCCCAGGGAGACAGCAGTGGGCATGGCACTGCTCACAGAGCTGAAGGATGACCACAACCTTCAGCTTTTCTGAAAGCCAAATAGATGGCTTATATCCTTTGCACTTGAAAAAGTCAATTATTTTTTCCAATGCCTGCAAAAATTTAGGAAAAAAAAAAAAGCAGTGAGCAGCGGTGCTTTTCTGCAGCTGAGCAAAACAGTTGTGATTTTCCATATTTATGCCAGGTTTAAAGAAATGTAAGCAAGAAAAACACCTCTCCTGTATAGGGGAGAGGTCCTGTGCAGCCTGAAGGCAAGGATCCCAGCCTGGGCTTAACCAGAGCTCTGTTTAAGTAGTGAGTGGATGAGTAATGGTCCAGATACGGCCAGACAGGATGTGTAGGGACTCCTGGTGCCCTCAAGTCCTGTCATATACCCCCAATTTTTAGCACCCAAGAGGTGCCAAGTGCAGGGTGCCACACACTGCACACAGCCACATGGCTCCTGGAGACCTCCAAGGCCCAGTGGAGCGATGTGGGGAGACCTGCAGAGCCTTCCAGGACCCTCAGGGTTTTGACCTTTTCCTGAAAGCCATCTCTCAGCCTTCAGAGGTAGGAACTGTTCTTCCTCCAGAGCAGGAGCAGAAGGGAGACAAGGGAAAACCATCAGGCATTGCATCCTGCATGCTGGGCACCCTGAGCTGCCAGCAAGTAGAAGATACTGTGTCCTGCAGGGAAACACCTCAGAAACCTGGAGATTATCAGAAATAGAAACAGCTGTGCAGATGAAACATGAAAGTTGAAGCATGTGTTCCTTATGCAAATCAATGCACATACATTAATGCAGCAGGCTGCAAACGATGATTTATGAATCGCCAGGACATGTTGCTGCTGGTGGCTCAGGCTAGATGCATGATCCAGAGGTGATGAGGAGCCCTGTGGTGACTGGGCTTTGTAGGAGAAGGGCAGGTGGCTCAGTGGGGTGCTGATCAAGGAGGAGAGAAGGACTTGTGGCCTGAGCCTGGCCTCATCTGCACTTTGACCTCATGGAAAGTCTGGCAGCCACAGTGCTGGAGAGCAGCACCTCAAGTCCAGGGTATCTCCTTCTCCTCCTGCATCATTTCCAGAGGTCTCCAAATGCCCAAGGAAGCCCCAAAGGGCCTCCAGCCAAGTGAGCAGCATTCCTCTGACTTCTAGCAGCTCACACGCATGAGGGACTGAACTTTGTCTGCCCCCTTCCTATATGGACACCTCTGAACTGAGGTGATGCCAGGAAAGCCCGGGCAGCTGTCGCCGCACATCTGTGGCTGCAACACTCTGCAGACAACGCTCAGCTTGCAGCACCTGGGGTTAAAGGTGGTCTTTCCCCAGTCCACCCAGGGTGGTGGATGATGCTGTCCACCAGCCCACTACATCATGTTCAGAGGCTCTCCAGCCTTACGCAACCATTTTGTTACAATCGGTATTTCCCAAGTGACTCAAGCAGAGTGGGCTGTTTCACAACCAGCTCTGGTCTATTTATAAGCCCCTACTCAAATGCCAAAGGATCTTTTCATTAGTCAAAGCAACCTCCTGCAGCCAAGGCTCAGTGGGGCCTTTGCTTTTTGAGGTGAAGCTCAAAGAAGAGGATCTCTCCAGCCTCTCATGAATAGGAGAGCTGGCTCTCTGCAAGCTGCAAGGCAGTTTTGGAGCTGAGCCCCATCCCAGCGGTGCTATCAGCAAGTGAGAGCCCTGGGGCATTCGGTACAGCCCAGGGTACTGAGTGGTTTAAGGTGAGTTATCCATCAACCAGGAAAGCAGTTGGGTTTAAAGCTACGCAGTAGTGGTGCAGCATGATGGAGGTGCCTGAATTACATCCCAGAGCCACAGGGAAGAAGAAGCTGGACTGCAAGGTGGAGGCAGGGCAGGTCTGCAGCTGAGGAGGGGCATGGATGGCCCAAAGGAGTCCCACAGTGGGCCAAGGGGTCCTGGCAGAGCCAGCAACACCAACCAGTCTGCCTGGCAGAGATGAGCCAGGCAGCTCGGACAGCAGGAGAGCAGATCAAGAAAGGCCACATTTTTGCATCCAGCTCCTCCCTTGCCAACACCCCACAGCTTGGTTTCGGAAACACCAAGATGATTCAGTGTCAAGGGACTTCTGCACACTTTGTGGGGGCAACGCCTCGTGTTTTAGTTGACTGAATTGGCAGGCTTGACCATCTGCCACACAGGAGCAAACTTGGAGCCTTGCAGAAGAGAGGTGTGGGACATACCCAAGGTGTACTTACTTGTTTTGCTTGTGCTTTTGTGCCAAGTCTGCCAGAGATTCGTGCAAAGCACAAGTGGGACAAATGTTACTTTGGAGGAGAATGTGGGCTCCTTGCTTGTGCCATTGCCGGGAGCTCACTGCAGTGAGCGCTTGGGCAACAGACACGGGCTGCGGTCCTCTGAGAACTGACCCTTCACTTACACACTGAAAAACAAACTGTTTAGCGATGCTCAGGAACAATGAAACTGACTGTTTATGCCCATGCCTGATAACATTAAATATCAGCAAAAACAAAGCAGCTCACCTGCTCATCACCAGCTTTGTGTGATGTCTCACCATGCTGCTAGGAGGAGGACTAGGACATTGACCTGGAGGAAAAAAGGGGTGATTGTTGGGTCCAAGCCCATGCTCCCAAAGGATCCTGCATCCTCTGGGTTCTGATTCCCCTGCACAAACTTGGCTGGTGGCTGGGGAGAAGAAAAAAAAAACAAAACACTAGGCTGCGTGCCAGATACTGACCCCTCACCCAGAGGATAAATAATGTTTTTTCATTAATTTCTTTAAATTAACCCCCCCAACATGCCCATTGCCGTGACATCACTCCCAAGTGACGCCCAGGCCTAAATATGGCTATAAACAGGAATTGTCCCCACGGGGTTCATGCTGGCTATAAATACAGCAACAGCGGAGTGCTGAGCAGAGGCCAGGCTACAGTTTCCTGCCGGCTAAGGATGGTGAGAGAGCTCAGCTGCCGGTGTGTGGGTTGCCACAGTGGGGAAACTGAGGCGGGAGTTGCTCGGGGCTCCTGGCTGAGCTCCCCGGCATGCCTTTGGGAAGGGAGGGGAGGGCCCAGAGGCCACTAGGGAGGGGAGGACTGGTGGGGCCAGGGATGGCAAATCTGGGGCTCAGCAAGTGTGGCCCCACCAGCCACTCCCAGCTTGGGCAATGACACAGGCTGCTCTCCGCAGTGCCTGGCCCCATAAGCCCTGCCCCAGGAGGAGATGGCCACAGAGAAGC